TCTAGTTTCTTATTATTCTAGTACAGGCAGGAAATTTCTTATAGAAGCTTCTTTACGTATTAGTATTCGTTATTATCTTCTATAGAGTATTCTATTAGCGCTTTTAGTAAGTTAGTAATTAGTATATCTATAGTTATATTTAGTATATCTAACGTCTCTTAGAATAAATCGTAATATTTATTTAAAGAAGGTATTAAGGCATACTTGTATCGTAGAATAGACTAGGTCTAGATATAGTTCTTAAGTAATAGCTACTAACTACTTTAGTTATTAATACTATAAAGAAAGACGAGAGAGAATTTCTTAAAAGCTTTTCTATTAAAATAGTTAGTTAGTTATTACTCTCTAGGTATAGATACATGTATTATAGAAATTCGCTTAGAGTAATAGTAGCTCTCGATTCTTTTATATAGCTAATATACTTATTTTAGATTATTCTACTTTATTTTCTATATTAATACTAAGTTAGTAAGTAATTTGTTAATACTAGCATTTAGAAGTTTAAGAAGATTAGTAAAAAAGGCTTTTACTATTAGTATATGCTACTTTATAGTATAATAAATAGTAGCCTTACTCTCTAATATAAGTTTATTTTATAAAAACTCTCTATTATTCTACATGTACTAAGTAGTTATTTTCTACTTAAGAGTAGACTTTAATTAAGATAGTATAGTAATATAGGTAGTTTTATTATTAATACTAAATCTATTTTTAGTTAGAAATATATTATTTAGTATACTATAATATACTTACGTAGTTACGTAGTATTATTATAGAAATATATAGATATTAGTAATATCTACTATAGTTATTAACTTATTATCTCTAAGCTATTTAAGATATTCTAGAACTTCTACACTTATCGCGTTTTTAACTTTTAAGATCTCTTAAAATAGCTAATCTAGTTTACCGCTATAGACTATACGTAAAATAGGCTTAAATAAGCTCTTAGACTCTTACTAGATATAATTTTTAAGATACTTCTACTTATTATTTAGAAGATTTATACTACTAGTACTAAAGGCTATTCTATTAATAACTATTAGTATTATTAGTTAGCTCTAGGTTATTTATACTTCTAGCACGTAGACTACTATTTAAATAGGTGTATACACTTACTTAACCTTCTTCTTATTAAGAGGTAAGAAAATATACGTCTAAATAGCTAGGTAAAGCTATTTTAATTTATTAACGTCTATATACTCTAAGAAGCTCTCTTAGTTAAGTACCTATAAATAAAAGTCGAGCCTCTTATCTAGTCTAATACTAAAGCTAGATAAAAATTTCTAGTTCTTTAGCACGCTACTAGGTAAATCTAGAAAATAGTACTTATCTAAATTACTAAATACTTATATCTTTTCTATAAGTTTTAGAAAGAGAATATAGCTTTTACGTAAGGTAACTTAGTCTTCTAACTTGTATATAAATTTATAGCCTACTAATATTTCTTTTACTATACCTGTTATATTATTATTATAAAGACTCTAGTACTTTTTTAAGATAGCTAAAACCTAGTTACTTTTATTAGCTAATAACTATATAAAGTCTTTATAAAGCCTATTAGAAGAAGTTATAATAAAGCAAGAGGCTAGCGCTATACTAGCTATCTTACTTAACTATTCTATAAGCTTAATACTTTCTAAAGAATTAAGGTTTTCGAAATAGTAGTTATATAAAAAATATACCTTACTATAACTAGAGAATAGCTATTATAACTTGCTATAAATAGAAATATTAGTATATATTAATATACTCTTCTTAAGATATCTATTATAATACGTAAAAGATATTCTTTCTATCTTACTAAGTTATAGGTATTTTTATATCTTATAGAGGTACTCTAGTTAGATAATAAGATAAATAACTAGTACTAAGCTAAGTTTAGCGTAGTAGTTAATAATCTACTAGACGACGTTACGAATATTATAATTCTTTACTCTAAGAAGTTAGAAGAGCTTTATTCTCTCGGGACAAGCGTAAGCTTCTTCTTTAACTAGAGACAACAGTAGTTTAGGCGGAATTATTGTCTCTAAGCTCGCCGGAAAGTAGATTAGATTATCTTTAGACGAGGGATACTACTAAGTACCGTTAGCAAGAGAGATTAGAGGTATGTTTTTTAGGTCTCTTATATACTTTTCGACTCTTATAGGTTTCTATAGCTCTAAAATTACCTTAGTAAGGTCTAAGTACTAGTTCTTACTTTATATCTTATTATAAAGTAAGGTTTTATTATATAGCTTCTAGAGCTTATTATATATCTACTTCTAGTTAGAGGTAGTAACGCCTAATAATAAAAGTACCTCGCAGACTAATTTAGAATAATTAGAGAAGACGTAGTTACCTATACGTCTAAACATTAGCTTACTATTATAATCGTGCGCTCTATTTAAGAACATAAGACGTTTAGACTTCTAGGCGCTACTAGTTTAGTTCTTAATAACACGCGCTCTTCTAAGGTGCTTATTTATACTTATTGTAATATTATACTAGTATACGCTTAGTCTATTAGTATTATAATTAATATAGAGTAGCTACGTTTTTACTAACTTATCTATGTCTAAATTTCTACTCTTAGAGTTAAAGTCGTAAATAACTACCTTAAAGACGTACGAAATCGCGTCTATAATATTCTTATTCTAATAGTTATTCTCGTTAACTAATTACTAATTCGACGTAGTAAGAAAATCTACCTGGATAATAAACTATGTATAGTATTAGTAGAAGCGTTTAAACTATTATAACGAAGTATACCTTAAATCTAAAGTCTCTAAGAGGTAGATATATAAAGATAAAGTTCTACTTCTATATTAAGAGTATATATATACCTAATTTCTTCTTTACTAGAAAGGCTAGTACAATGTTAGTTTCTTTAATATCTAGTCTTTAGGTTTTAGTACTATTAAAATTAATAGTAAATTAAGTTTTGTAGAAGTAGTGCATCCTATTGTTATCTTCGTCTATAAGCAACACGATGCCAGAACCAGGTGTCTAGTCAACGCGGTAAAAGCATTTTGATATAATCAGTTCGTCATCTAAAGACGACTTAAAGAGCGTGAGATAAAGTCGTTCTATACGCCGAAGGAAAAGAATAAGGACAGGGTTAATTGCGTCAAGGTCTTTTTTAAGCGCGGTTGAAAAGTCTACCAACTAGTCGCAGATGCGGTCCAGGACAATAGTCGTCTAATATTCTTCTTCGTAGTCGTTAAAGTAGTCTTCGTCCTACTGCGGCGTAATTATACTAAGCTCTCTCGTCTAATTTAGTAGAAAATAGTAAGGGGGGGAACGTATATATGCCTGATTGGCGAGCTTAAAGACAGATTTAAAGCTAATGCCCTTTTCGCCTGTATACTCTTGGCTAGGTGTTTTAGAACTCTGGCTAGTCCAACAAAGCGCCTGAATGTTCTCTCTGGAGAAGCTATCTTCGTTGCATTTAATCTTCACATGTTTGGGACAGACAGTAATAGACACTGTTGGTGTCTCGCCCTTGGTATACTTGTTGTCGTCGGCATTTTAGACAACTTCTATTATGAACCGCGCGCGGTTCGTGTACAGTTGATACGCTAGGAAATAGTTATTTCCATTACATATCGAACATCTTAGAGAATTACGATGGAGCTCTCACATTTTCAGTGTCCTTGCGAAGTCTTCTCGAAGCTCTACGCTGCCTTCCATCGCTTGCAGCATGCTCCTATCGCCATTTCTTGCTTTCTCTTCCGCTTTTCGCCTGAATGCATCTGTAAATGTCCCCTTGAGCTGCGCTATCCCTTCGATGACTGCGCGTGCGTCCTCTGTGGTCGTCACAGGACCTGAATCCTTGCCCATATCGCCGCAGCCTTGGACGTGATAAGCGTGCACAGAAAAGATGGAAAGGAGCGGGACCCAACGGAAAAACACAAGCAAATGAACTGGAAAGTGTTATGTGACCACGCATCTGGCATCTACATATGTGGTCTCCGCGGTCTCCAGCCATGTAATTTCAAAACGCCGTGGGTGCTGCGAACGCGCCTGCGCGGCACGGCGTTGCAGCAGCGTCAAGGCTGAAACCCACATAATAGCGCGCGCGGAGTTGGAGACGCGCTGCAGCGGCCGTTTGGAGCTGCGAAGACTTAACACCTTTTGGTGATGGATGGCCTAAAGGATTCGCAACTAGACAAAAACAGCCGGCTTTGAGGAGGTTCGAAACAACCTCCTGTCTAGCGTGCGCAGGGAATTTGGTCGTGCCGCACATCCCTAAGCCTTGGACGAACTCAGGCGCCGCTCGCTCTCGACGCAGATTAAGCGACCAGGAAAACTGCACGCGTTCGAAGGTCTACTAAAACTAAAGCTTTGCGCGATACTTGCACATGCCTCCCAAGACGGCAGCACTTGACGTGTGGCTGATGGTGGCTGACGCCGTGGCGAAGTCACCTAGCGCTGTACTGCTACTCCCTCGTGTCTTCAAACACCTTCATATTCAGAATGGGGCCAATATGTCCAAAACCTTGCGCAGCGTCATCGGATCAGTCCATCGCCCGGCGTGTACCTGCCAAATTGATGTATTTCCGTGTCTGCCGCCTGCAACCTGTTGCAAAATGCAACGAGCGAAAATTAAGAAGCACCTGCTATTGGTCATCCGGGCAGCCTGCGATGCAGTATTGCGGCAAAGTCGCCAGAGTGGGCGCCTGCTGATGTTACCTGACTCGTATTCGTCGGCACCCTTTGGTTTGGATTCCAGGAAATAACGCACTGTTTTCAACTGCCTTCATCTCCCTGTTTCCCTTCGTTTTTGTCATCTTCTACCCAGCGTCTTCTACGGAAACGGTCTTTAACAACGTCAATTTGACATGTCTACCCCTTCTCCCCGTTCTCCGAGGGCATCGATGTCCAACCCACCTTTGTTCACGTCCTCCTCTTCTATGTTTTCCTTCAGCGCTTCAAGTTCGGCGAATGCAACTTTACCCCATGGTATTCATCATGAAACTACGCATAGCCCAGAAAATTCAAACAGCTTGATTTCCGATATGTCGCACTCGAGGCTTTCTTCACCGCGATCCATCTCGAAGCAGACACAGCCAGCTTCGAACTCCACTACAAACGCCTCACCTGGTACACCCTCGCCAACGCCTTTCTTGTTCGGAGAAATTCGGTTATGTTCGCCGGATTTCTCATTCAACATTGATCAAGATCGGGACAGACCCCTCCCATCCATAGAACGGGATGTTCTCAGTTCAAACAGCAGTCGCAACACTCCCAATACAGCTGTGTATACTCCGTCGACAACGACTGGTGGTTCCTCTCTCGAGTGTCGGCACGCCGATGCCCTTGATGCATCTCTGCAAGCGCTAAGATTGGAGACAACCGCAGGATCGGTAAAGGTATCCTCTACGGCTCGCGAGGCAACTCATTCAACGCCAGCTACAACCACTCCTCTACGGGCCCATAGCAGCAGTTTTTCACGAGGTGACACGCCGACTCCCTCAGTGTGGATAACACCAGCACCCTCTACCGATGTCCTTAGCCGACATCAAACCGAAACAATCACTGAAGGTCTCGATGCTATGCACATACGATCACCTTCGGCAGAGTCGCCGGACCGGTCTAGAACTGGACGAAAAAATGCTTTCACTCCGTCACGTAGACGTCGTTCAACATCAGCCGTCAACAAGGAATCGCATCGTGTCGAAGACGAAGACCCACCTGCAACTTTCTCTCGCCTGAGAGAAGTAGAGCAGGTATACACTAAAGCGAAACAAATGAGCGAAAAGCTTTTGAAAGTTTTAGCCAGCTCTACCTTACACCAAAAGCCAAACTCCAGTATTGGGAAGCTTCATCGCGAAGCCATCCGATTGACTGAATTCGAGCTACCCTCGTCACGTATCGTTGGTCTAGTCGGTGATTCAGGGGTCGGAAAAAGCTCCTTGATCAATTCGTTGCTCGATAAGAAGGACCTAGCTCGCTCTGTAGGTAGTTGACAGCTTCTCTCAACTTCACTAACCTCACCGAACAGAACAACAATGGCTCAGCGTGCACATGCGTGGCTACGGAATATCATTACCACGACCGCGACGATTTCGTCATTCAAGCTGAGTACTTCACAATTGAAGAACTGAAGAGGCAGTACGAAGACCTACTCCGAGCCTATCAAGAGAACAAGTCTCCACCGGCACATACTAAGCAGGAAGATCTAGAAGAGCTGGAGCGTAGAGCGAGGCTCGCTGAAGAAACTTTCAAAGCTAGCTTTGGAGTGAAGCTGCAGCAAAACCCTAGCTTGCTCAGATCCTCGATCGAATATGCGGTGACGACGATGCTGCAATGGGCGTCGTCGTCGCTACCACGAGATCGGAATGTTCACACTAATGAAACCCGAGAGACCCACAACGATATTACAGCCTGCTCCGCGAGGATCCGAGAGCTTACATCGGAGGCGGATGATTCTGAAATGCGTATAGCGAATCAGACTAGTCCCTGGCCTTTTGTTCGAAAGTTGAAGTATGTATGGCCTTCGGAGTGTGATCCAACTATTTCTACACGTATATTAGTAGCTAACAAAACCTACAGGGTGTACCTGAAGGCATATATCTTGAGTAAAGGCTTGATCATTGCTGATCTTCTAGGCAAGTACACCTGTTTTCCCGTTTGCACGTCACTCATAAAAATAGGCCTGCGAGATGCAAATGTCGCTCGTCAAACAATCACTGAGCGATATGTTCTCCATTGCTATCAGATACTGGCCGTGACGCGCGTTTCGCGAGTCATCACCGATCAAAGTGTGAAAGATGTGTTCAAGCTGGCTCGTCGCGCCAAACTGTCTAACGTTCATATCGTATGCACAAACTCGGATGTATGTTTGTAGTTTTGGCCGAGGGATGAAAAGTATAAGTACTGATGATTGCTAGGCTATTCGGGCCAAAGAAGCTGTGGATACGTATGCTGGTGAAAGAGCGACAATACAGGCGATGCAGGATAGGATAGAGGACGCTAAGCGGGATTATGATTATCTTACAGAAGAGCTCCATGAGCTCACCATGGGCGCCGCAGATTGTTCAGATGAAGACGCTCTCGAGTATGCCAGGCTACATGAGCAACGATGGCAGGCAGAGTACGTATTGAATCATGCGCTTAGAATTGGTTACTCATGATGCGATACAGGAAAACACAAGCGAATGAAGAGTTCAAGTGAGTCATTGTGCATCAGAACCATGAGATCGCTCTAACTGGATGGAATAGTTTACTCCGACACATAATTACTGTTCGAAATACCGACATCGTTCACAAAATCCAGGCGGAATACAGAGATCACCCATGCGCAGGAAGCCTCCAAATCTTCTGTGGTAGCAATAAGATATATTGGAAATATCGTATGAAGCCAGCATCTGCATCTAAGCGTCACTTGGAGCTCAGCGGAATTATGGCTCTACGAAAGTACTGCATCGGTATGGTTGCAGAGAGTCATATTCGCGCCCTTAACAATTACGTCAAACATCAGATCCCGACCCTCCTTGGGTCCGCTTCATTATGGGTAAGTAACACCAGCCTACGGATATTTGAGGTGTACGTTAACCGTGTCGACATGGCAGGTCGAGGCTGGCTCAGGTAATGCAGCTGCCGAAAAGAAGCGGAAGATGTTGAAAGTTGTAAATCAGATAGACGCGAAGCTGTACGAGGTACGTAGATTCGATATATAAGCCGACGACTCCTCACAAACGTCTACTATGCTAGTAAATGTAGCATACATACCTTTCTACGACGGTATATGATGACTTGGATGACGGCGAGATTGTGCAAGACTTCGGCTGATACAAATGGGCAGTTAACATCCCCAATAGCCCAGATCAACGGTCTCTCGCGCACTCTAAACGAAGACTTCAATAGGCACGTCCAAAAGCACATGGGTACAGTCCCTTGGCTTGGCAGTCTAGAGTACCTTGCTAATGCCTGCAGTACAACGTGTTACACGATGGAGTCAAAGTGCTAAAGAACAGGCTTCCATTTGGTCGGGTGTATGTACGCTTTTGAAAAGATCTCGACCACTGGCTGACTGATTCAAAGTGGCACGAGACGTCGTTCGCAGCGTTCTGCCGCCACTGGGGGCATTACGCGACAAATGCGGTGGATTACTGTTACTGGAACGAGGAAGCAATGAGAGAAATGGCGGATGACATGTCTATCATCTGGAGTGCCTTAGTGACCGACATCAACAATCGGTTGGACCTATTGAAGGACTGGATTGCATTGAAGTTACAGGCTGTTACCACATTGGTGGTCTCTGCAGGTACGTAATCAGCGTCTTCCGCCTCGAGTAGCTGTAGCGTAAACCCAGAGCTTTCTGCTTTACTAACATGATCCTGCATATCCACCCTGTCATGAGATTGTGATCTTACTGACGAAATCACAGCGGGAGCAAGAAATAAAACATACTCGGCTCTTCACACTCTTACCGCAACACTTCGCCATCGACAAGATTTAATGCTTTATGGCATCGAAGATGCAATCGAAGATTTTCGTACCCAGCTTTCCAATCTGCGAACGGACGCTTTGGCCCCCATCCGCTCTGCGTTCATTGGAAAACTCATGGATGACACATATCAAGCGGCCCAGATGGAACATGGTATGTTGTCCGTGATTACTGTTTATTTTCTGCCAATTTTTTATCGCACAAGTCGTTTTGGAGTTGGGCGGTGCCGATATACTGCGTACTTTTTCTGGACATGCAGAGCTATGTCCCGAACCTTTGACTAACAATTAGAAATAGGCCTGGGCTGCGACGCGCGTCGCAATGACATCATCACGCGCAGATTTGGCTCTGAATCTCTCTTCACTTCCCACAACAGGATGCTTAGAACCGCATTCCGGAACCTATCCGAAGACCTCGAAGAGGCAGTCAAGGAGGTTGCGCTCCAGCAGAGTGCGTACATCGAAAGCGACCTGGAGCTCCTCCGGAACGAAAACGTCATCTTAGAAAGCGAAAAACATCCTGAATTCAGGCAGAGTTTATCGGAAGAGATCAGGCAAATAAGGCTACAGTTGGAGCAACTTAGCAGCATGCTGGATGTCTAAATATGGTACCTGACCACTCCAGCCATTTTTATCTTTGCACAAAGTCCATGTCGATTCTAGTTGCTTTATGTCTCAAATAATTGCTGCACATAGTTGTTATATTAGAGCTAAATTGTCATGTTAGAGTTAAAGATGGTAAAACCTTAATATTATGGACGCAGGGATTGCTTTCAGAACAAACTAACACATGGCGTCACATCCAAGCGAATATTATTATTCGAGAACTTAGGAGTGAGTTCTCGCCCAAATGTACCGTTTACCTCTAGAGACAGGCAAAATTATCTCGCACAACTAGTTCTAGCTACAGCCCCGAACCTAAGCAGTTGCCCCTTTGGCCTGAGCGGATCCTGAGCTGAAGCTGAGTGCGGCCTCGGGGTAGAATAATCGCCTCCCTGCGCGCCCCGGAGCGGGGTGTGTTTTGCCCCCCTTAAAGCTAGTTATTCTTTCCTTAGTAGATGCTAAGTAGCTCTACTAAAGGCTGCTGCCTTATGCTAACTACACCTATTAAAAGTTTCTAGAAACTAACCCGTTCTTCTAATCCCTCTAGCGCGTACCTACCTAGATAATATTTAAGTAATTATATCGTATTAAAAATTATAGCTACTGTATTTACTCTTATTATTAGCCTAATTCTTCTACTAATAATCTAATAGTAGTTATTTAGCTTCTCGCGCGCTCCTTATAACTACAGCGCGAAAGAGCTTTAGCACTAGAGTAAACTAGATAACGCTAATAAATCTCTTAGCCTATAATAGAGAAGTTCTGTTAGCCCGCTCTACTAGTAACTAGAGCTAGACAACAACCTCTAGCAAGGCAACGCAGAGTTCTGCACATAGTGCTTAGTAAAGAATAACAACACGCTTTAACAAATTATAGTTCTCTTTAGACTAAGCGAATAGCACAGAATTTATACTAAGTAGAAAGTAGCGATTATAATTAGAGCGTTAGCCTTTCTAGATAGAGCCTAGCTATAGTAAGACGTTGCTAGCTTTAACGGCTAGTAGAGTAGTAGTAAATTTATATAAATATAGCTTAGTTCTTATATTACTATAATTAAGAAAGCTAGCTTATAATTAAGTAGAACAAATTTATGTAAGCGTAACTAAAGCTCTAGATAGCTAATATTTAGGTTATTGTTACAACGTAACTAACACCTGTTTACGATTAAAGTAGAGACTTTAGTTTTTCTACTAAAATTTCTAGATCTAATAACCTATAGCTACTATAGTCTTACCTCTTCTATACTATTAAGACTATCTATATATACTCTTAACGCTATAACTATTTAGTATAATTAGACGTAGTTCTGCTATAATATCTTAGTAAAGAGCTATTTACTAGAGTTAGCTATAATTAAAGAGTAAGAAAGGCGCTACCTTAATAGAATTAGGTCTTAATAATAGCTTAACTACTTACGTGTTACTAGTTTAATTAAAAGCCTTGCTACTCTAATTATATTAAAGAACATAGATTAAACGGCTAAGACTATTCTAATAGTACTTAGAGGTATACTATTACTAATTAGATAGAAAGAGTCTTAGAATAATCTAGGAACTAGCTAGAGAAGCCGCGGTTAGGCGGAGTATTATTAAATACCGCAACAACTAGGTATCTGCGGAGTCTAGAGGCGAAGCTATTTAGTCTCTTGTTAAACCGCTGTAATTCTTATTACTTAAGTAGCGTAGATTAATATAAGTATACTATAAAGGCGCAGGTTTAATATAGACAAACATAGATAGTAGAATTCTAAAGTAAAGATAAGATTATATAGAGAGACAGGCCTAGTAGAGATATAGATTAGCTAAAAGAGCTATATAATAGCTTTACTACCTTATTCTTGTAGGTTAGATAATATAAACACGTATAGGTAATAGATAATATAGCTAGATTTTAAGTTAATTTAAGTTACTCTAGTAAGTTACTCGCGAAATTTTCTAAAATTTATACTTTCTAATAACTATATATAGTCTAGCGCTCTATATTTAGTCTAGCGCCTTAGCACTACTCTACCTACCTCTTAGCCTTCTCTAGCTTTTAATAGTTATTAAATACCTTGTGTATTCTATCTTCTATCTCTTTCTACTTCTCTATACTACTAAACTACTTCTTATCTACTATAGTCTTCTCTCTCTAGCGGCTTAAGGCCTCTAGATAATAACTCTACGTCTATTTTTCTCTAACACGCTCTTCGCGACTACAGCCTAGGTAGTATTCTTATAAGGTAAGCCTACGTGCTATAGTGTTCTCTTACGCTCTAACATCTCTTTACTTATATGTTACTTTTCTCTAGACCTATTCTTGTAGTTAACTATCTCTCTAAGTAATCTACTTTACTTCTACAATCTAAAATCTAACAAGTTAGTAATATCTATCTACTTACTCTCTTTACTTGCGCTAGTAACTAGCTAACTATTATCTTACGTAAACAAGAGTTATTATATAACTACTAACATAGAGCGTAGATTAGTTAGAATTAGGTTAACTAGCCTTATTTTTTGTCTTAATAAGAATTATGTTATTAAGGTTGCTAAAACCTTTACGGCGGACAACTTTCTAGAGCATAACTTAGACTCTATAGAATATATAAATAATGTTAATTATAAGGCTTTAGAAGTTAAAAAAATAATATATAAGCGTCTAGAAGATTATTCTAGAATTATACGTTGCTTTAAAACGTCTAGTAATAGAATTAAACTAGTATTTGTAGTTAAAGAATGTGAGGGCTGGGTCCGCGGTCTCCACTGCTGTGAGCGCCCCTGGAACACCTAGCTGGGTAAGTCGGCTGCAGGCAGCACTGTCTCCACGAGCTGTAAGGATAAGGGGTGCTAGCAGGGTAGGTTGGGTCAAATTCAGCTATCCAAAGGTGAGGAGTAGAAGGCTGCTCCGAGAGGCTCTATATACAGAGGTGCCGAGCGCCAAGGCGCTAGGCTAGGTCACGTGGTAAGATCACGTGACCCGAGGTCATGTGACCTGAGGTAAATCCCAAACCAGACCGTCACATCACCCCCCCTCACAGGGAGAGCTCGTCCCCGAGCTCTGAAATACGCCTCCTAGGT